TTTGTATTTTGATATTTGTAATCAACCTAAGTATTAAGTTTAGGCTTCAAAATTGTAATGGACTTTTACAATATTTTAGAATTTAAAGTAATTTTTTGGTAGGGAGCCAGTACGGTATTATACCGGTATACCGCGGTATTTGAAAACATTTACCGTTACCGTACCGAAATAAATCGGTACGGTATGATACCGTACCGAGAAAGAAAGTATACCAACATTCCGGTATTTTTCGGTATTTTTCGATACGGTAAGTGTGGTATACCGATTTTTCGGTATTTTTGCCCAGCCCTAACCATATATCATATATGTCAACACATAAACTAATCGACAGACATCCCTCCTTGGCATACTATGTTCGGATCTGTTGGTCTAGTATCTCTTGACCAGTTATATGGACATCCGAGGCCATAGGGCTATTCCACACTTTAGGCGGAAACGAAGCAAATGACAACGGGTCTTCAGCATTTTATTTTTGGCAACATCACTTTTGTATTTCTCTTATGCATTTTTGGCTTTTCGTATTGTGTATTCCTGTATTTTGATATTTCTAATAAAATCGTTGGTTTTCTTTAAAAAAAAACTACTGTACTTTAAGGTATTTAAATGTACAAACTCGGATTGCATCTTGCACTACTTGTGTGTATAAATAAAAAGTTAAAATAATCTCAAATTCATATTCCTTATCGTTCTGCTATGAAGGTATTCGTGATCTTCACTTATGAATTGTATTAGTTGCCATTATTCTAAACATAATTTTTTTAGTTGTCATACTGTTGTAGTTATTTGGACACGCTTGTAAACAACCCTTGTTTTTTCTATTTATTCATTTCAATATTCTACAATTTGAAATTGCTTCCTCCATTGTTCTTCAGAACTACTTCCATCACATATTGATTTTCTAGAAAAACTTTGTTCAATGTGTTTGATGTGAGCTCATTGAATATGTTTTGACAACTTCAATTAACGGGAGGCTAAACCCAAGAATGTGGAATACCGAAGGGCGGACAAGCGTCATGAAGGAGAGTCGGGCCCTTAGGGCAAAGAGAAGATGGAGATCAAAGTGATCTTCGGTAGGTTGGAAATAGGTGACACCCCCGCTGTCCGAAAAAGATCTAAGTGGGCTCTGTGCGTGGCATCAGATTGCCATGAGCTTTTCATCAATATGGATATAAAAATGCCATCATCAAGCAGATTCTGGTGGACATGGGCAACAGTGTTAACGTCCAGTACTGGGACGTTTTCGAGAAGATGGGACAGAGTAGGAGTAATTTGATGCCCCTACGCACCCCCTTGGTTGACATTATTGGGGACTGCATTGATGCAAATGGAACCATTTCCTTACCGAACGAGATCGGCGACGGTCCTCATCGGGCGGTGATCCATATGACCTTCGTGATGGTCTGCCTGAAGTACGCACATAATGCCATCCTTGGCCGCCTGAGGTTGGAAGACCTAGAAGCCATTGCTCCTGCGCAACACTCCTGTATCAACTTCCCCACTACGACAAAGGTCGGGGTAGATCGGGACTAGCTCCATGAAATGGTCCGAAATGCAGTGCTTGCAGTCCTGGGCATTCCCCAGGAGCACCTCATGACGCGGTAGGTCATCAGGGTGGGCGGCTTCGAAAACCGCCATGTCATCCCCAGAGAAAGCATCGTCCCTAGAATCGTTGCCACCATCTGGGAGGGCTTGGGTGCGTTCGTCGCGAACGGCAGCATCATAAGCATATCATCTGCCTCTTCGGCAGTGTCATAAACCCCAACCTCCCCCGAGGATCCGTCTCACTATCCGAAGACACCGACATAAAGAAGAGGTTAAGGGAAGAAGGGTACATGTTTCCCCTGAGGGAAGAGTTGGAGGCTGAACTTTAGTGTAAAGAGAAGCTTGAGTTCCTAAAGATAGGGAGATATAAAATTCAGAAAACCTGAACGAGCCAATTAAGCGGGCATTTATAGCAAGTGTCACCGCCCAAAGGCCAAATCACAAAGTGACATGTGGCCAGTAGCGTACCCAGGACACGCGTCGCACAGAGATGGATAGTCAGGTAATCGTTGCGATTACCTTGAAAGTTGAACTGCCTAGCATAATCGTCGCTTCGAATCTCGGGAGCCACCAGGACACCTGTGAGATCAGGAGCTTCGAGGCGGCATGGCTTGGGGTACATTAACCTTTCTACATCCTCATGTCACGCACACGCTCAGAACATCAGAAGTGGGGGATGTGTGTTGGGTAATTGGCCCAATACATAAATGACCCAATACCCCGTAGAGAAATGGAACCAGGAGCCGCTCAGAATCGCCCAGGAAGCAAGCGTCGTGCGACACTATGTCCTTAGAACGTTACACTAGCAATCATGAAGGTCTCGACCGACATGCTCAGTTTAGTTGGCGGGAAGCAATGATTTTGACGGGAAATGCACTAAATACACTAGATATGCAAGATTTGGAGATTGGGAGATTAGCCACTTATAATCTGCTACATCATCACTACCACCTACCCACATGGTAGTATAAATAGTATGATTTATTCATTGTTAGGGGTTGGCAACTTATACTCACTAGCTTTAGCCTTCTCTCTGTTCTTCTATAACCGCAACTTAGAATAGATGCTTGGTTCTCGACTGAGTAGGATGTGCTCTAATTGTTCTAAGTGTTTAATTAACTCGACCCACTTTTCCACTTGTTGTCCTTTTCTTTCTTGCGAAGTACTTGTGCCTTTGAATTGTTTACTAACCCGCTAAAACTTATATAACCCACCAAAACATCCAGCGAAAGCCCAAAGGAAGGTGTTGGGCCTTGGTTTGGACAGGGGCGAAGCCAGAGCACTGGGCCAGACTGGGTCGGTATAAAAAATATTTTCTGAAACTTTTTTACACAGATTTTTTTAGGGTTTTGACAAAAATAATTATACTTTTTTTAATTTTCTGAAATTTTTTCACACAAAAACTTTATGTGTGCCAGAACTAGGTTACAAAAAAATATGCATTTTTTTTTTAAAATATGCATTTTTTTTTATAAAAAATATGAATTTTTAAATTAAGCATAAGTCATTGAGGTGGAGAGGACCTAGCCGCCGAGGCTAGGGTTGTCTTGGTCGGGCTTTACATTTCGCCCGTAGTGTTCAACGGCCGAAGCATTTATCGGCAAGAAGCAGGGCTATTTCGCGAAGTGATATCAGGCTTGACAGGTTTCGCTTTGAAGGACGAGCTCGAACTCGTTTTCTTGGGCAAACGAAGTGCAGATGGAGAACAACGTAGAAGTGGACACACTGGCCAAGGTTTATGAGCGGCTGGATCTGGAGGAGGAGCAGGACGAGATCCTCGTGGTCGCACCGATGGCACCGAACTCCATGAAACACAATCTGTACATGGTGGGAACCATAACTTCGGAAAAGTTGGTACATTTTTCTCAGTTTAGAGATATTATGGCATCTGTGTGGAAATCTGAGGATGGCGTTACTATAACTGAAATTGGCCTTAGAAGGTATGTTTTTCAGTTCTATAAGGAGGATGATGTTATTAAGGTGGAGGAGGAGGGACCGTGGCTTTTTGATCAAAACTTAATTGTCATGAGCAGGCTTAAAGAGGGAGATATTCCCCTATCTGTTCCACTGAATAAAGCAGTCTTTTGGGTTCAAGTTCATGATATCCCAGTGGGATATTTCACTGTTGAGAATGAAGAACGAATTGGAAACTTTTTAGGTACTTTTATAAAAGTCGATGATCATAACTTTTCGGAGAGATGGGAATCATTTATGAGAATCCGGGTATGCATTGATCTGGGAAAACCTTTGAAAAGGAAATTGCTTCTGCAAAAAGAGGAAGGTGTCACTTTTCGTGTCAGGTTTTGTTATGAGAAACTGCCCAGCTTTTGTTTTTTGTGTGGTATAATAGGGCATGCAGAGAGTCATTGCCCGCGCAAGGGAAGGGGATATGCTGTCACTGGTGAAAGGCCTTTTGGCCCTTGGCTAAGGGCTACAAAAGGGGCAAAGCAATGGAGGGAGAACAAATGGCTTGTTCCAGCAGGGAAAGGAATTAGTCCTGATAACAAGGCTACCAGTGGTAATAGTGAGGAAGGTATGCGACCAGGTACGGTGGAAGGCGGGCTCTCACCACACGAGAGGGGATATATCGAGCAGAAACGGAGGCGCGTGGAAGACTCGGCAGAGCACCAGACCGGGGAGGAGATGGAGATTGTTACTACCAGGGGAAAAAACGGAGAGGAGGCGAGCTACAAATCTGTAGCTCGCCAGACACAACATTGAGAGGCTCTGGACCGCAGCTATGGGGGTTGAATAAGGCCGAGTGCCATGAAGACTTTATTTTTGTCTGCAGTTTTTCCTTTTATTTTGTTCACTTTGTTTTTATTATTGTTTGGAACTTTAGTGGTAGGTTGAGCTTGGTTTTTTCTTGTTTGGCTTGGGATGCTGTTTGTGGTGGAAGCGATAAGGCTAGTTTGGCCGGTAAAAGCTTCGAAACTCTCACATGGTTCGCGAATAGTCTCGCTCCTTTCGGGGTGGTCTATTCTAAGTCTAGTCAGAGAGTGGGGGGGGGCCTTTGGGCTTTGCTGAGCCTCACAAGGAGGTTTGGTGTTATATGAGGGGTAGTAAGTTTAGCTGCTTGATTGCGAAAGCTTTGGTTAATTGTAAGGGGGGAAGTATGTTGACACGTTTGATTGATATAATATAATCAGTTTCCTTCAAAAAAAATTAAGCATAAGTCCATGGACATACGCCTCGATTTGGAGGAATAAACCTCAAATACGATGTTTGATCCAAATTATAATATTTGTGTAGACAATTTACAAGTTTTCAAATAATTTTTTGCAAGTGTAAATGGAATCCTCAAACACTTTTAAAAATGGACATTCACAAACATCTTGTAGAGAAAAAAACTACAAAACGTGAGGGCAACTAGAAATTTCTCTTACATATTTTAAGCTAAGAAAGTTGAGATGCAAAATATATACAGGTCACAATATATCTATAAATAACGTGATAAACCAACCCATTCCCACTTACTTCAAAGTTTCCCCCTCCCCACTCTCCATTGTTCACTCGTTGCAGTGTGCTGAATTTGACTTCTGGTCTCACCCAACCCCCGCTCTCTCTCTATCTCTGTCTTTCTCAAAATAAACGTTCTTTAACTCTCGCCTTTCACGAGTTTCTTCCTGACGCTTTTAATAGCAACGGACATATAGTCAGTGATTCACCTGCTGGGAACAGTACTGACCAAAAAATGATACCTCAATAAAATCTCTACTATTCTTGGATCCTTCTTTCTTTCTATCCTTCATCACTAGCAAGATGAATTGGAGTTGAATTCAATACGCGGTGAATTTAGTTGGTATTTATCCATACCCATATCCTGGGCGCAAAGTAGAAAATAAAAAAGGTTGGTTCTTTGAGGTCCAGCCATGGCGGAAGCTTCTCACAAGAGTGCAGAAGAAGGGAGTGCAATGCCGGAGGCGGAGAAGAAGAAGAAGGAAGAGAGCCTCCCATTTCTTCAGCTGTTTTCTTTTTCAGATAAATACGATTGGGTTCTCATGGCCTGTGGAAGCCTGGGAGCGATTGTTCATGGCTCTTCCATGCCCGTTTTCTTCCTCCTCTTCGGTGAGATGGTCAATGGGTTTGGGAAGAACCAGGGAGATATGAACAAGATGACCCATGAAGTTTCCAAGGTCTGAAACACTAAAAAGATGCAGTCTTTGTTCTTTTCTTGCTGTTTTTTAGATCTGAAATTTGATTCCTCTTGATTAAATTGGCTTTTTGTTGTAAATCTGCAGTATGCTCTGTATTTCGTGTACCTTGGACTCATTGTCTGCGTGTCATCCTACGCAGGTGCCCTTTTGTTCATCCCCGTTCTTTCTCCCTCCCTTCCTCCCCTTTTTCTCTCTTTATTTTTTGGTTTCTTTCCATTTTCAATGTCTTATTTTATTTTAAATTATTATTGCATTTGCTGCTAACACAAATCTGGGTCGACAACTCATCACTTATTAGGATTGAATTGAATTCCCCGAAGTGTTTTTTTGTATTTCAGCGAAGAAGCCAAAGTTAGATAGAATCAATCATAGTGTTGTGTGACTTTTGTCGGACTTTTGCACGTGGTTTGTGGACTGCCTTCTTGCTCTTTCACCCCTCAATTTCCCAAGACAGTTTCTTAATCCCAGAGCCCATTTCGGAGCTAAAAGTGAATTATTCCTCTTATTATGCTAGTTCACCAGGATAATTAGAATAAGTATTTTTCACTTAAATGTTTGGCTGATATTCGTTCAGAAAACATAGATTCGACCATATCAGATAAATAACACTTACAATTAGGTGCTTAGTACATTAGTAGATTCTAGCATTGATTAAATTAGCCTAACTAGCATCCTCTCACGAACTTGTTCCCTTAACAAGTTCACGGCCTTAGTTCCTTTATGCCATTTGCTGTAGCTAAGTCCTTCTCAAACACGAACTAGGGTGGCAAAAAGGTAAAAGGTTGTGATAGTGCGAAATTCAGAATTAATTTGCTCTAATGTGCCACCATCTTAAGCGACATGATATGCATAAGATTAGAGATAAAGATACAAAACAAACTTTGCTAATGATGATAGGAATTGTACAGAGATAGCATGCTGGATGTACACTGGGGAGAGACAATCATGTGCAATGAGGAAGAAGTATTTGGAGGTAGCTTTGAAGCAGGATGTTGGGTTCTTTGACACAGATGCCAGAACTGGGGACATTGTCTTTAGTGTCTCGACCGACACGCTACTGGTTCAAGATGCCATCAGCGAGAAGGTTCTTCACATTAATCAACAAATTATATAGTCTATGGGTATGGTTTTGGCATGTAATATTAGTATTAATGGTAGCTTTTGTTGGTCAGGTGGGGAATTTCATCCATCACATATCGACATTCTTGGCTGGGCTGGTTGTTGGTTTTGTGTCAGCGTGGAGGCTAGCGCTGCTTAGCGTGGCTGTGATTCCCGGGATCGCTTTTGCAGGTGGGTTGTATGCTTATACTCTCACCGATCTCACATCCAAAACCCGGAAATCATATGCCAATGCGGGTATCATTGCTGAGCAGGTAATTCACAATTCCCCTTTCTTTGCCAGTTTGGCTTTATATTATAATAAGTAGTTACTCTTTCCTTTTTGGTTTGTCCCATCATTATGGATTATATTTTTTTGAACTCTACTAACTCTCTACCCTTTCTGTTATGAATTTGACATTTTAGGACAAGTTTACTTAACTTCTATAAAAAGTTATTTTATGAAACTGTCGTAGAAAATTCTAAAACGTGTGCAAAAAGCAATCTGAGACTTGTATATTAAGACTGAGGGAGTATACTACTACGTACTACAAAAGAAAATGGTTTTTCTGATTTGATGTTTTGATCTTAAAATAGATTGTTTAGTCTTTATCTAATATATAAATAAAACGATTCTCTTTATTTAGAGTTTTTAGCCTTTACATAATAGAAATGTTTAAATAAAATTATGTTTCAACTTTCAACAGATATCTAGAATTTGATATATGAAGTTTGAAATTCGATTTTTTTTCCAGCTTTTTACTTACCTTCCAAATTCCCTTCCCATTTTCTTTCCCTTTCATTTTCCTTGAGTTCCAAACAGACCATTAAAGTAACCAAAGGATATAAATGATGTTCGTTACTGCCTCTACACTCTTAGTTGAATAATAATTATCTTCAATGAAATTTTACCTTTTTTTGCTTCTTTATTACAGTACATTTTTTTCCATTAGGCATGCTGTCCCAGAATTATTTCACTTTTTTTTTACCTGTACTAGTTAGTATAGGTTTCCAAAAGTTACAAGTCAACAAACACATAGTCAGTTAGTCTAGTGCGTACTGCTAATTTGTTATGAAAAAGGAAGAGAAAAAACTAAGATGTGTATACAAGTCAATCCTAATTCTTTCCTTTTATAGTTTCTGGACAAATTGGTCTAATCATGTCATTTTCAAATATCTAGCTTCTAATAGACCTGCTTTCATGTGAGCAGGCAATTGCTCAAGTTAGGACTGTGTACTCATATGTTGGTGAGACAAAAGCACTAAACTCGTATTCAGATGCAATCCAGAACACATTAAAACTAGGTTACAAAGCCGGTATGGCCAAAGGCTTAGGATTAGGGTGCACTTATGGCATAGCATGCATGTCATGGGCTCTTGTCTTCTGGTATGCTGGCGTTTTCATTAGGAATGGTCAGACCGATGGCGGAAAGGCATTTACCGCCATTTTCTCTGCCATTGTTGGCGGCATGTAAGACCTCACACAGAAACATATTTTCTTGTTTGTATATAGCAATGGATAGTTACTAGATTAATTAATAGTTGCTGCAAATATCGGATGTTTCCAGGAGTTTGGGTCTATCTTTATCCAATGTCGGGGCATTTAGTAAAGGCAAAGCTGCTGGGTACAAGTTAATGGAGATGATACGACAAAAGCCCACAATAGCTCAAGATGCTAAGGATGGAAAGTCTTTGGCTGAGGTCAATGGGGATATCGAGTTCAAGAATGTGACCTTCAGCTACCCTTCAAGACCTGATGTTTTTATCTTCAGAAATTTCTCCATCTTCTTTCCTGCTGGGAAGACTGTTGCCGTAGTCGGTGGCAGTGGTTCGGGGAAAAGCACCATCGTTTCTCTAATAGAAAGGTTCTATGATCCCAACGAAGGTAATTTTCTTGAGGTTCCTTCTAAAAGGTTGCTTCATAAAAGAAGTAACACAATGCTTGATCCATTGGTTTGTGTTATGTTGGCCGATATGAAATGATTTTAACATTAAATTTTACGTAAATATGATAGGTGAAATATTGCTTGACAATGTGGACATAAAGACATTGCAGCTAAAGTGGCTGAGAGATCAAATTGGTTTGGTGAATCAAGAGCCTGCACTCTTTGCCACCACCATACTCGAAAACATACTGTACGGAAAGCCTGATGCAACAATGGCTGAAGTGGAGGGTGCTTCCTCTGCTGCTAATGCTCATAGCTTTATCACCTTGCTGCCCAATGGCTACAACACTCAGGTTGGGTCTCTATATAAACACAAATCCATGTAGTTGAACAATCTTTGTCTATTAAGAGAACTTTTGGTGTTGATTTAGGTCAAACCTTATTACTAACAAATTGTTTACACTTGTTCTAGGTAGGAGAGCGTGGCGTCCAACTCTCTGGTGGGCAGAAACAGAGAATAGCAATTGCAAGAGCTATGTTAAAGAACCCAAAGATTCTGCTTCTAGATGAAGCGACTAGCGCGCTTGATGCGGGCTCGGAGAGCATTGTTCAAGAAGCTCTCGACCGTCTCATGCTTGGGAGAACCACTGTGATAGTTGCCCATCGTCTATGCACAATAAAAAATGTTGACTCCATTGCAGTTTTACAGCAAGGGCAAGTTGTTGAGACCGGAACTCATGATGAATTGATTGCCAAGGCTGGTGGGGCATATTCTTCATTAATTAGATTCCAGGAAATGGCTGGCAATAGAGACCTCTCAAACCCTTCTACTCGCCGGAACCGCTCATCACGGCTTAGCCACTCACTTTCAACAAAGTCTCTGAGTCTTCGGTCTAGCAGTCTGAGGAACTTGAGCTATTCTTACAGCACTGGTGCGGATGGGCGAGTAGAGATGGTTTCAAATGCTGAAACGGGACGGAAGAGTCGGGCGCCTGATGGGTATTTCTGCAGACTTCTTAACCTGAATGCTCCTGAATGGCCGTATTCAATAATGGGTGCCATTGGGTCCGTTCTGTCTGGTTTCATTGGTCCTACATTTGCAATTGTGATGAGCAATATGATTGAGGTTTTCTACTACAACAATCCTGTTAGGATGGAGCAAAAGACCAAGGAGTTTGTGTTCATTTATATTGGAATTGGTCTTTATGCAGTTGTTGCATACTTGATTCAGCACTATTTTTTCAGCATTATGGGGGAGAATCTCACTACAAGGGTGAGAAGAATGATGCTGGCAGGTATACAAAGTTATTATCATGGTTTAAACTTTTGTGCATATTTCGACCAACATTGTTATTGGCACGACCAGTCCTTCCCATTCCTTAATGGCGAGGACGGTCTAGGTCTCTACGTTTGTTTTGCTCTAATAAATTGAAACACTTGAAAATTTTAAGTGTCATCAGCCTCATCAATTTTAAAAAATCAAATGGTGTCAAGTTAAACCTCTTGAGAAGTACTGCTTGACTATCATGGCTAACATCTAACATCAAATTTCTGAACAATAGTACTGCTGTTTGATGCAAAAATTCTACACGTTTTTTTAACAACAAAAACTTGTAAGTAGAGTTAAAATTAAGACATGTACTTGGTTGGTATATAATTAAAGAACAATAAATTCTACACATGTATCTTTGCACCTTTTTCAATAATTACATTATTAAATTCTTTTAATCATTTAACTGAATTCTTTTAGCTTTTTGTTGCTTATTATTATGACATCAGCTATCCTAAGGAATGAAGTAGGGTGGTTTGATGAGGAGGATAACAATTCAAGCCTTCTTGCAGCTCGCTTAGCTACAGATGCTGCAGATGTTAAATCTGCCATTGCAGAAAGAATATCTGTGATACTCCAAAACATGACATCTCTCTTCACTTCATTCATAGTGGCATTCATAGTTGAATGGAGGGTCTCCCTCCTCATTCTAGCTACTTTCCCACTTCTAGTTCTTGCTAATTTTGCTCAGGTATATCCCCTCTTTCATTTTGTTTATAATGATGCTTTTGAGAAACTGATTTGACAATGCATGTCTCTGAGACTCCTGTCCTTGACTTTTTGAGTTCCAAAGTAAAGGGTCCCACAGGAGATGGGGGTTAAGGGGCTGTTTGGTTGCTGGCGTGGTTTTCTATTTCTTTACAATTTGCCAGAGACTGCAGAGATTCTTGACCCGTGACCTTTTTGAATCTGATATAACTTGGAACTATCATTCAAGAACTCTTTTTGAATTTCCTCTGACATATCTTTTGTTAGTTTGAGACCACTCATGATAGAACTGTTTCAAATGTGAACTTGAATAAAGTGTCCTTAGTAATAATTCCAACACATCTATAGTGCAGTACGGAGTACTTTATTATTGCTTTTAGGGTTATGACATCTGTCTTCCGAATGTTTGGTTAAATTATCCAAGGACCCTCAAGATTTCCAGAGATTACATAAAATCCCCTAAACGGTTAAACCAGACGTATTTTCTTCAAAGGACACAATGTTAATGATATATATTGATAATAGTATAAACTGAGGCTTTTCCATTACTGTCTACATCAGTCTCAATATTTGTCATATTTTTTTTATTACAAAAACTAAATATTTTGTCCATAACATGCACTGAAACACCATTATATGCTATGATCTTTCACTGCCAAGAGGGTTCTTTGTGGGAAAGAAATGTCAAAAGCTGTGTTTGTAATTTGCATAAACCTCAAGGGGCATTTGGCCAAACCAACAATTTCTGTAATGTTGTTTTCAGAAAGATTGTATTTTTCCTTCCTGGATGGTATAGTAATTTGGTAAATAATTATTTGTGTTATTTTACATGCACAGCAACTGTCGATGAAGGGGTTTGCCGGAGACACAGCGAAGGCGCATGCAAAGTCAAGCATGATCGCAGGGGAAGGAGTTAGCAATATTAGAACCGTGGCGGCCTTTAATGCCCAAGACAAAGTCCTTTCTTTATTCAGCTTTGAGCTTCGAATTCCCCGAAGGCAAAGTCTCCGGCGTTGCAATTTGTCTGGACTCCTGTTTGGTCTCTCCCAGCTTGCCCTTTATTCGTCTGAAGCTCTAATCCTATGGTATGGCGTGCACCTCGTTGAGAAAGGCCTCTCCACCTTCTCAAAGGTCATTAAAGTTTTTGTAGTCTTGGTAATAACGGCCAATACGGTTGCTGAAACTGTCAGCATTGCCCCTGAGATCATAAGGGGCGGTGAAGCAGTCGGTTCTGTATTTTCCATCCTGGACCGGCCCACCAGGATTGACCCCGACGATCCCGATTCTGATCCTGTGGAATCGATCAGGGGAGACATTGACCTCCACCATGTAGAGTTTGCATACCCCTCACGGCCAGACATCGCCGTTTTCAAGGACCTCAGCCTCAGGATCCGTGCTGGGAGGAGCCAGGCTCTTGTCGGGGCTAGCGGGTCCGGAAAGAGCTCTGTCATTGCCCTGATCGAGCGGTTCTACGACCCGATGGCCGGGAAAGTCATGATTGACGGGAGAGATATAAGGAGATACAATCTGAAGTCTTTAAGGCTTAAAATCGGGTTGGTGCAACAAGAACCTGCCCTTTTCGCGACGACCATTTTCGATAACATAGCGTATGGTAAAGAAGAGGTGACCGAGGCAGAAGTAATAGAAGCAGCACGTGCCGCGAATGTGCACACTTTTGTTAGTGGATTGCCGGATGGGTACAAAACACAAGTGGGTGAGAGAGGGGTTCAACTCTCGGGTGGCCAAAAACAAAGGATCGCGATAGCAAGGGGAGTTCTTAAGAACCCCACGATACTCCTATTGGACGAGGCAACGAGCGCATTAGATGCCGAATCGGAGTGTGTGTTACAAGAAGCACTCGAACGGTTGATGAGAGGCCGGACCACCGTTCTCGTGGCCCACCGGTTATCAACCGTTCGTAACGTGGATAGCATTGCGGTCGTTCAGGACGGGCGAATCGTTGAGCAAGGAAACCATTCCGAACTAATCGCCCGACCGGAAGGCGCTTATTCGAGACTCTTGCAACTACAGCACCATCGAGTATGATGCAATGAATCATATCTTTCTTCTTCTTTTTTGAAAAGGGAGGCAAACTATGCTCTCTGGTCCCATTAACAGTTGCTTTCACTTTTCTTTATTGGCTGTAGATATGGGGGGATGTGAACTTTGTTATTATTATCATTACCTTTTTTTGCCTTTTTCTTAGTCTCAGCTTTTTTCCTTTTGCGTGTGTTTTGTGATGTGTACTTTTCAGTTTTAGATGATAATATGGGAGTCATCATTTTTCTCTTGTGAGACGAAGGCCAACAGAATGTAGGACACATTCATTTGGTCCCATATGAGTTGAAATTATTGTAATAAAGCACTATGGGTCTCAGAGTTGTAAAGAGGAAGGTTGCTTGCATGTTCATTTTGGTGCTATATGTATATAAATTAGTTTATGCTATGAAGCCAGGTTGTGTTTTGCAACTGTTCTATTTATATATTATAGTTTATGATAACATATGGGTTAATATAAGTTTAATATTCTTTTCTAGATGTACTCAAAACTAAGAAATCAAATAATGTTACACTAATACTAATAATGCTATGATAGCTGAAGCACCGACCCCAGCAACATCACATTTAATTAATATTGATGCCTCCTTTAAAAGAGTTGTGGGAACTTTTAAAAGTACAGTAGGTCAGAAAATTGTGATTAATTAGTTGGTCACCAATAATGAGATTGATAGAGAATTGGGTTAGTTGTAGGGGCAGGGTGGAGTAACCGATCATACGAAGGTTCGGGAATACAAAACACTAAAATACATTCTATTTCATATATTATGCGACCCGTAACTCATTGCGAGTAAAAAGTTATATTCCTAGAAAATTAACACTATCTAAACTTGAAATGACTAAACTATGATATGTAATACCTAATAATGATTATATTTTGAAGTTTTAAAAAAGTGTCCAATTCACTCGGAACTTATGTGAAGTCTGTAATGTATATGACATATATATCAAATCTATATTGTATTAGTCTCATTTAAACTATCACTATCTAAGCTATGCATGAAAAATTCAACCTAGACTTTGTTTAAAAATGATCCATGAGTTTTATTTTGTATTTAGTTAAATTTCGATCCATCTGAGTCGTTTTTCAGACCCAGCCACTCTTAGTTGCCTAGTTTTTGTTCTAGACCCTAACTAGTACATGGAATCGACCCGAACCCGTTCAAATAGGATCAGAATCCATCAATTTGGTTTATTGGAAAAATCGATCGAGTTATTTTCTTAAAAAAAAGGTAAAAAAACATTTTTAGGTAAAAATAACTTTGATCTTATAAGTGATTGGTTTGTCTTTTTTATTACTCTATCCGTTTCATTAAGATTGTTCAATTTTCTATTTTGGCTCGTCTCCCTAATGTTATCTTATATCAAAATTGATAATGTTTGTGTGATTATAAATGATTTAAGTTATTCTTACTTTATAAATTGATACTTACTTTTTCAATAACCACATCATCTTTCCTGTTTGACCATGAGAGGGATGGAGATATTTTATTTTCATACTGGATGAGGAAATTGAGATTAATTAGTTTGTCACCAATAGTTAGGCCACATGCATATTGGTGGTGACCTACACATGGAGTGTTAAAAGGGCTTCTAATATGAGCCCAGTGGGATATGTCATATGTGCCTTTACTCCTTTTCACTTTCTCGGTACAGTGCGCCTGAGAAGGCGTAACAAAGAAGAGCGAGGGTCCATGGCGGGGTGCTTTGCAGAAGACATGTGAAAATCAGTGCAATTGTAAAGGGTTGTACGTCGGTGGGGTTAGCTAAATTGTTGACAAAAAAATGAAAAAATGGTCTTTGTTTTCACACACACAACTAGATCACCAATACAAAAAATCCAAATGAAGAACATGCACATTCTTGACTAATCATATCTCATTGTTCTTCTTTAATCCGAATGAAGTCAATATTTTTCAGTAATTTAGTTGGGATGAGATTCGAAAATGTTACGTGACACTGATAACGTCGGATCACAAGATACATGGATTGCAGGTTGTAAAATTGATTAGTGAAAGTCCTTTTTACAATAAAAAGCTAATATTAAAATAATAAAAAATGAGAACTAATAACACTTATCCCAAACTCTTTCAAAAAAAAAATAACACTTATCCCAGATCATACATTCTTACTCGCTAATCATCAAACGCGAAAACTTAAGCCTCTAACACCGAGGGATTTAGGGAGTGTTTGCAATTGCTTCAACTTTAAAAAAGTGATTTTGGGAAAAGTGATTAATAGTAAAAGTTGGCAGTGTTTAAGAAAAAAGTGATTCTGAAAAAGTAAAAGTTGGTAGTGTTTGGTAAAATAAGTACTTTTTGTGTAATAGAAAAAGTGAGAAGCAGTTTAAAACACCCTTCTACATGCTTCCAGCTTTTAGCTTTTAATTGATTAATTTAAGCAGAAGCTGTCATTTGAAAACACTCTTTTCAACTTTTTTTAAGTCAAAAGCTGAAAAACGCTTTTTTTAAGCAAACCCAAACACTCCTTTAGTACCACTGCCAACCAATTACCGCAAATCCCAAATTGAAAATTTTAACCCACGAACGGGAAAACTTTAGTACCTTCCTGTTGACGACTTCAACATATTACCATATACTATATCATCCATCGATTGAACGCAACATCACCGCCTAGCCCGCCGTCGACCGGAGTGAATCTAGTTCCGTCATCTTTGACTTCTCTTCTTTTGTTACACTCTTACTAATTTTTTCTTAATAGATTGATTCTCTTTAGAATTTAGCCAATAAAATACACAAATAAAATGAAGGGCACAACCTAAAATACACAAGCAGTGTAGCAGCCTCTTCAGGAATACAAGATACGTACTCCCTCCGTCCCATTGGAAGATTCTCATAGCAAAATAATACGGTTATTTAGACAATAATTAAATAAAGTACTTCGAGAATATTTTGAGAAATAATTTTAATAGGTATATATTATAATGTAGTTAGTATTCATAACTGTGATGTTATAAATGTTTTATTTTTTATATTTAATGATTAATTTATCATTTAATATTGTTAATTGTTTTCTAAATGGAAATGAGAACCTTCATATGGAACGTCTGATAAAATGAAAGTGAGAACCTTTTAATGAGACGGAGGGGTACAGAGTACTACATATAGTCGTAAGAATTTGAGAACACCTCGCACTATTAAAAGTGATTGATATCAACAGCTTGCATTTTTATTTCTTAGGGTAATTTCCAAAATTTTAAATACATAGTACAAGTGAATGAATTGATCGAAGTGAAGGTGTAGAATAAAAAATTTAAATTAAGATTAATAAGTATAATTTTAAAATTGATGGGTTAATTTTGCTATACAGGCATTATATGGATGTGATAATAAATACTTCAAATAATTAATTTTATAGTATTGGCACTTGTAAAGTAGTTATTTTGTTAAAAAAAGTAGTTATATAGTATTTCCGTTTCTAAATCAAAATCACATTTTCCCTTTTTAGATGTTTCAAAACAAAGTCACACTTCCTTATTTGGCAAACAAATTTATATCAAAACAGTACAAAATAGTGCAAAACAATGTCTAATAGTGTCAAAAAAGTAGGGTTGGGATCGGTTCGGTTCTTACTCAAAACGAGAGGAACCATTATAAATGTTTTAACTAATGAAATTGGTTCGGTTCCTATATAAAAAATCAAGAACCGTCGAAAATTCAAAACACGAGTATTAAAATTTTATTTCAAGCTCTAATCACTTCAAACGTCAAAGCTCAAACTTAACTAATGAATTGTGAAAACTTAATAGAACAAAAGATGATTTAAATATTCATGTAATAAATAAAACATAAAAATCGTTGTAGTGTGGGAGCGATGAAGGTTACTCGTCATCATAGTAGCAAGAATAGGACGCCTACTTCAAGTTTTTCAAAACATAAAAAATACATACATTGAGTTCACATTTATAGATATAAAAAAACATTATTACATTCTATTGATTCATAATAAATCTAATATTTAGAAATATCATGAAAATAGTAAAATAAAATATGTGCAATTAACTACAAGTTATTTGGGTTATTTTTCATTTATAAAATTTATGTGATGGAACAAAACTTGATTTGTAGAAAGGAGTTTAATGTTTTATATCAACCTCATGTACAATATTTATTACTTCGTTTTCGTTGATTAAATTAGAATTGTTAATTAAATATCTTATACTCCGTATTGTTTTATTATTATTGTTGTGGTGGTGGGTATTATTGCTATTATATTATTATTGTTGTTGTTGTTGTTGTTACTACTACTACTAATATTATTTTATTTTTTATTTTTTTAATAACGGTTCCTTAACGGTTCTATGCACATATTTTTTTACAGGAACCAAGAACTGAACCGTTATAACCCGCTTCGGTTCGCTTCCTACAAATGAAGTGTTAATTGTTAACGGTTCGGTTCCTAGATGTTGTTAATGGTTCGGTTCCAAGCGGTTCTACGGTTCCCAGTTCCAAAATGTCACCCCTACAAAAAAGTGTACTCTACAATAAATTTTACCCCTTGGTAAATTCTTTTTCTTAATAAGTGTGAAATAAAAGTGTGACTTTGATTTAAGGGTATTTTGTTTGATATGTCAATATTGTATTTAATGGTTCTAGTTTTTTTTCTGTCTAGGACCTTAAATATTCTAAAATCGTCCCTGAACATATTCCCTACTCTCTATGCCAGTGTTAAGAGTAAAAAACCACTCACATATTGTGGATTTGATCATTTGAACCCAAATTTTTGAAAGGTGTACCCGAACTTTAAGAACCAAGGGACTCTCTTTACTGGATAAAGAACCTACTTCAAGGAATCAAGGTGATGATAATAATTTCAGGCGTACTAGATTTTAATGTATTTTTTTCACCTCTGATGTATAATAAACGAGTTCTTAATCTCTTCAACTTGTTTATGGGTTTTTTCTTTTGAATGCTTTTCTTCTCATTCAAAAAATCTATTGGTTACACAAACTAAACAAACTAATTCAACCATTAAAATACCTTTTCTTGGTTACACAAACTAAACAAACAAACCCATTAAAAATCTATTGATTACACAAACTAAACTAAACAAACTCATGCGATTTATGGGTTTTTCTTTTCAATGATTTTCTTCTCATTCAAATTTTACTAGTACTCCAAATTAAAATATGAATAAAAATAACCTGAAACTCCATATATGAGTGTCATGATTTTATGACCAAAATAGAAGTGTATTACCGAGCCAACCGGTCAAAGTAAGCCAGAGGTATACACAATAACTTTGTGGGAATTGAAGATAAATCTTGGTGGATAAGAAACTTAGTCTCACTCTCATATCACATGTGCCCAAGTCGGCCTACTTCTACCGCATTAATTCACAATTAGAGCCTGTTTGATAACACTAAATCGTAAGAATCTGCTGTATTTGAAGTGGTTGAATCATTTGAATCTATTGAATTAATGAAAATAC